ATAAAGTTACTTAAAAATAAAGTTAGATCTGAAAATAAACAGTGCATTTTCCATAATTAGTAGGACGGTTCAAAAAATGTACAACGGCAAATCAATGATGCATCGTATATTTTTGTTTAATTATAAGATTTTTGTAGTAGTAGATACCAAAGAATTATAGTTGTCGTGCCATATGTATGATATAGATTGGCCAACCGGCCGATCTAAAAATCATTGGGTCAGTCAGGCCTATGTTCAGCAGTGGACGTCCTGGGGCTGAAATTATGATAATGGTGGTTCATTCGTTCTAGCCAAATGACGTTGACGGGTGGACAAATGCCTCCCCCTGGGATTTCTACTGAGCTGCTCTTATCAAGGTACTTCCCGCAACCTTCACCGAATCGTCGGTCCACCTAGTCGGAGGCCTATATGGTGAATAAATGTTACCTGAAGTATTCAGCGCCCTCTACAGTGATCGCGATGGAGCGTATGATCTCCATTAGGCACGCGTATGCGACGGAGATCCCGTAACCGTCCTGTATGGCCGGCGCTTCGTTGCGGTCTAGCATTTCGATGCTGGAAAAGAATAAGAACTTGTTATACTGTATATTTATTTAATGAAAAAGAAAATGTTACATAATGTGTTACATAAAAAAAACATACAGTCGAATTATTAAGAACAACCTTCTTTTTTTAAGTAGGTTAAAAAAGGTTGCTTAGCTGTTGAATGTAACATTTAAAAATGAATGGATTAAAGATTGCAATTGCTAGTATGAAGGTGCTTAGAGCTCAAACACTGAGAATTTAACGAAAGATGTAAAAAAAAACAATGTCACCCAGTCCTAAAAATCTTCAATGCTTGTATTAATATCATTGGAGCAGTGAACATTGCAATGGATGGAAATAATTCCTAACTTACTAAACAGATTTAGCTGTCCCTGGTTCGAATGTAACGCAGAGCGGCAGCCATACCCCCTTCCAGTAGAAGCCCGACTGCTGTGGTATTCCAGACGCACCTGTAAATAAGGTTTTATTTTAATTATGTATCTTGGAAATCAGTGACCGACATAGCTCGCAGAATTGCTATAAACAAACAGCAGTGGCCGTTGGGGCAGGAAAGTTCTCGAGTGACGACCGCGAGCCGGAAGACGCAGCATGAGCAGGCCTCCCACTAGGAGGACCAACGATCTGGTGAAGGTCGCGGGAAGAGCCTGGATGAGGCAGCGCAGGACCGGTTGTTATGGAAATCCTTGGGGGAGGCCTTTGTCCAGCAGTGGACGTCATTTGGCTGAAACGAACGAACGATCGATGTACCTTGATCAATATTTAAAGATATAATTATCATCAATCGTGATTTTATTTATCAAGCAACAGCTAAGTTCTCACGGTGGTGCAGTGGCACATACATTTTATTATTATGTAAAGATTGTAATATATTTACGAAAACGTCAATATTTTCAAGTATAAAAAGTTACCGAACTATTTAGGTCAGTTTATCAAATACTACATGGTCATGAAATAATGTCATTAATTTATTCGTGTCATAAATTGTTAGAAATGCGAAAAATAATAATAGTTTGCTTGGTTTTCATGATGCATGTTGCAGAATTACTAACATCAAATTGTATGTCTTTCGACTCCTACATTTTTTGTCATCTACTTAATTATTGTTTGTGTCATACTTTGCCTCTATGTAGGTTGTGGTTATTTTTCCCCTATACTTTCGAACACTGTTTAGAACAAGTACAAGAGAATTAAATTCCTATTGAGTACTTCGTTTAGCAGTGAAAGAGATACGTATATCAATGTATTTATCAAAGTACAGAGGATATCACATCAACCTAAACCCTGTGGCATCCTGTGTAGTTGTTAATAAGTGTCAATTTGCATCCATACTGTAGTCTGATTAGCGATCGTCTGTCCAGTTGGCCTAGACCGCCCGAACGACCCGCGAATGGCCCGGTTGAGCGATCAGGCGCGCTGCACGCGGCGCTACACGCCAGGCACGTGCGCACAATCTGTGGCCGTCGTGTGGACGTTTGTGTTTCTTAGGCAGAATTGCACGTGAGTATACAACAATAAGTATGATATTAAGCAGTCCACAGGTTATACAGGGCGTGGTTTTGTAAAACAACGCCAATCTGAAGTATACTGAGTGACCTGAGGCCCCAGCGGAGGGGTGTAAGACTGAGTTAATTCGGCCACTCTTTCTCTTCGCTAGACGATATGTGGGCCGTTGATGGTGGAAGGGCCAACTACTAATATTTGGGACGTGTATAAGTGTTTTAAAAGAAGCCCCAAATACTTGGAAGAATTTCGCTTAGTCTGTTAAAAAAACTATTCGATTTGCTCAATGTTAAAATTTCCCCCAGATATCTTCACAGTAGTTCACAGATTACAGATGAATATTCCTTAACGGGATAAAATTATCTTCACTGGTCCTGGCTACACAGGAGTCACAGCAATGGGATCAAGGAGTGCAATTAGTTCTGTCAATTATTAATGGTCACATGTCTCTTTATTCCAGCGAGCGTCTAGGCTGCCCGTCAGCTTCTCGCACCAACCGCTTTATGACCTACCGCCGCTGCATGCACCGCTGTCGCCCGCTTGCAGCGCTGTATTCGCAAGTGCTGGCGTCTGCTGGTGTCAGTGGCAACCATAGTGCATGGCCAGTTCTTATGAGGGGTGAGTCTGTTACTGTGTGACGTCACCAACCACGTCACAGTTGCCGCTGCCGCCCGCTGGCAGCGCTGTATTCACAGGTGCTGGCGTCTGCTGGTGTCAGTGGCAACCATAGTGCATGGCCAGTTCTTATGAGGGGTGAGTCTGTTACTGCGTGACGTCACCAGCCACGTCACAGTTGCCGCTGCCGCCCGCTGGCAGCGCTGTATTCACAGGTGCTGGCGTCTGCTGGTGTCAGTGGCAACCATAGTGCATGGCCAGTTCTTATGAGGGGTGAGTCTGTTACTGCGTGACGTCACCAGCCACGTCACAGTTGCCGCTGCCGCCCGCTGGCAGCGCTGTATTCACAGGTGCTGGCGTCTGCTGGTGTCAGTGGCAACCATAGTGCATGGCCAGTTCTTATGAGGGGTGAGTCTGTTACTGCGTGACGTCACCAGCCACGTCACAGTTGCCGCTGCCGCCCGCTGGCAGCGCTGTATTCACAGGTGCTGGCGTCTGCTGGTGTCAGTGGCAACCATAGTGCATGGCCAGTTCTTATGAGGGGTGAGTCTGTTACTGCGTGACGTCACCAGCCACGTCTTAGTTGTCGCTGCCGCCCGCTTGCAGCGCTGTATTCACAGGTGCTGGCGTCTGCTGGTGTCAGTGGCAACCATAGTGCATGGCCAGTTCTTATGAGGGGTGAGTCTGTTACTGCGTGACGTCACCAGCCATGTCTTAGTTGTCGCTGCCGCCCGCTTGCAGCGCTGTATTCGCAGGTGCTAGTTTCTGCTGGTATCAGTGGCAACCATAGTGCATGGCCAGTTCTTATGAGGGGTGAGTCTGTTACTGCGTGACGTCACCAGCCACGTCACAGTTGCCGCTGTCGCCCGCTTGCAGCGCTATATTCGCAGGTGCTGGCGTCTACTGGTGTCAGTGGCAACCATAGTGCATGGCCAGTTCTAATGAGGGGTGAGTCTGTTACTGTATGACGTCACCAGCCACGTCACAGTTGCTGCTGTCGCCCGCTAGCAGAATTATATGCGCAAGTGCTGGCGTCTGCTGGTGTCAGTGGCAACCATAGTGCATGGCCAGTTCTTATGAGGGGTGAGTCTGTTACTGCGTGACGTCACCAGCCATGTCTTAGTTGTCGCTGCCGCCCGCTTGCAGCGCTGTATTCGCAGGTGCTAGTTTCTGCTGGTATCAGTGGCAACCATAGTGCATGGCCAGTTCTTATGAGGGATGAGTCTGTTACTGCGTGACGTCACCAGCCGCGTCACAGTTGCTGCTGTCGCCCGCTAGCAGAATTATATGCGCAAGTGCTGGCGTCTGCTGGTGTCAGTGGCAACCATAGTGCATGGCCAGTTCTTATGAGGGGTGAGTCTGTTACTGCGTGACGTCACCAGCCATGTCACAGTTGCTGCTGTCGCCCGCTTGCAGCGCTATATTCGCAAGTGCTAGCGTCTGCTGGTGTCAGTGGCAACCATAGTGCATGGCCAGTTCTTATGAGGGGTGAGTCTGTTACTGCGTGACGTCACCAGCCGCGTCACAGTTGCCGCTGTCGCCCGCTTGCAGCGCTATATTCGCAGGTGCTGGCGTCTACTGGTGTCAGTGGCAACCATAGTGCATGGCCAGTTCTAATGAGGGGTGAGTCTGTTACTGTATGACGTCACCAGCCACGTCACAGTTGCTGCTGTCGCCCGCTAGCAGAATTATATGCGCAAGTGCTGGCGTCTGCTGGTGTCAGTGGCAACCATAGTGCATGGCCAGTTCTTATGAGGGGTGAGTCTGTTACTGCGTGACGTCACCAGCCGCGTCACAGTTGCCGCTGTCGCCCGCTTGCAGCGCTATATTCGCAGGTGCTGGCGTCTACTGGTGTCAGTGGCAACCATAGTGCATGGCCAGTTCTAATGAGGGGTGAGTCTGTTACTGTATGACGTCACCAGCCACGTCACAGTTGCTGCTGTCGCCCGCTAGCAGAATTATATGCGCAAGTGCTGGCGTCTGCTGGTGTCAGTGGCAACCATAGTGCATGGCCAGTTCTTATGAGGGGTGAGTCTGTTACTGCGTGACGTCACCAGCCGCGTCACAGTTGCCGCTGTCGCCCGCTTGCAGCGCTATATTCGCAGGTGCTGGCGTCTACTGGTGTCAGTGGCAACCATAGTGCATGGCCAGTTCTAATGAGGGGTGAGTCTGTTACTGTATGACGTCACCAGCCACGTCACAGTTGCTGCTGTCGCCCGCTAGCAGAATTATATGCGCAAGTGCTGGCGTCTGCTGGTGTCAGTGGCAACCATAGTGCATGGCCAGTTCTTATGAGGGGTGAGTCTGTTACTGCGTGACGTCACCAGCCGCGTCACAGTTGCCGCTGTCGCCCGCTTGCAGCGCTATATTCGCAGGTGCTGGCGTCTACTGGTGTCAGTGGCAACCATAGTGCATGGCCAGTTCTAATGAGGGGTGAGTCTGTTACTGTATGACGTCACCAGCCACGTCACAGTTGCTGCTGTCGCCCGCTAGCAGAATTATATGCGCAAGTGCTGGCGTCTGCTGGTGTCAGTGGCAACCATAGTGCATGGCCAGTTCTTATGAGGGGTGAGTCTGTTACTGCGTGACGTCACCAGCCATGTCTTAGTTGTCGCTGCCGCCCGCTTGCAGCGCTGTATTCGCAGGTGCTAGCTTCTGCTGGTATCAGTGGCAACCATAGTGCATGGCCAGTTCTTATGAGGGGTGAGTCTGTTGCTGCGTGACGTCATCAACACTTATCGCCGCTGTATTAGCAGGTGCTGGCAGCTGTGATATAACCATATTGCATGGCCAGTTCTTTTAACGAGGGGTGAGATTGTTTTAAATTAGATTGTGCATTTTTGTTAGAAAATAATCCAGCCATAGGCATTTATCAGCAGTGCCTTTTTTGGTTGTACGTACCGTGCCCGTCAGTATTTAAAAACAGGTCGACTGTTTACACGGATCCCGACAGCACACGCTGCGTGGATCCATCCACATGACGTCACCACGATCTAAGATTAGAACTAGCTATCGGGCCGCACTCGGCTAGACGACTGATATACCTACTCGTGACTGATGAATTTAATATTATTAGCCAGTAGAAACCACTTTTCTCATAACTTTCAATTCAAATCATAAAGATCTTGTGAAAAAGAATCTGAAAATTGGGGAACTATTCACTACTTTCTCTAATCCGAAATATATCCGTCTCTCTCTGACTCTAATGTCATTCATTCGTGGGAAAAAGAGAAAAGGAGTCGTAGTTATACTATTTCGAGTAAAGTTTCCGTGGTCTCACTATTTTATTTCAACAGACATAAGAAGACGACAAGACCTCAGCCTAGAAGACCTAGAACCTCCCCAGAGGGACCCTGAACCGGAGTATGACGACACCCTCGGGGACCTCCCCCTGGTTAACCCATTAGGCGACAAGGAGAAAGTTGAGACTGGTTTGGAGGACGTCCTCCCTCCGGATATTGATAATATCGGGTCGGATCACATTCCGAATCCGGACGACATATTCCATGATGCTTTTGGGACTAACTAATAAAATATAATTAAAAAGTTACGCTTGTTTGTGTATAGTAGCACAGAATAATAATAAGTACTAAGTACAGAAGTTTTACTTCGCGAAGGCATGGACCTATAAAAAAAGGCGGACGGAACTCGCGCTACAACAAAACTGTGACGCAAAATTTTGGCGTTTGTCTATTGTGTGAGTGAATTTAGGGATGCCATGTTAGCCAAAACATTTTNTTTTTTAACATACAACCTGACACTGACTTGCAATCAATGTAAGAAAATTTGAATTTCGCAGTTCCACATTTTTGGGAAGGATCAAATTTGCCTATGAAAATATATCCCATTAAAACACAATAATTATGATAAATTATTTTATTTCCATAGTATGCGTAATACATAACTAAAAAGTCCTAAAATCATTATTAATTTCCCATATTTCGGGTAATTTTCCCACGTAAATAACTGAGAACACTGGTCTTTGACGTATTATTTTTTCGAGTGAATGACGTTTGATTTCAATTAATTTCAATATTTTAATGTCGAGAAATAAGTGATTGGATTATTATTTTACCTGTGAAATGTGATTCCTTAATTTTTGTTTGTTCGAACAGAACGGTTTTTACACAATTTCATCACACAAGACATGTCGTATTCGTGTTGTTTTTTCGCTGCTTAAATGTGTCAACTGTGTGAAGTTTGCTCTCGAAGTGGTGTAACAGGGTGTGAATGTGTGCGTGCCGGCCTGTACGTACAGGCAAGCTGGTGTATCCTAATGTCACAGTATTTTGTTGATGAGACTCCGTCCGACTTTTTTTATAGGTCCATGCGCGAAGGTATTTAAAAAAATGTATGCTCAATGTCATTAACAATATGGTGTAATTTAGCCTGTCTCAAGAGTCAAGCACCATTTCGTTGACAAACGTCAGTGATCGGCACTTCGCCGAAGCTATAGGGCTGACTTCGGTAAAATGATGTGACGTGAGGTGCCAAACTGCGGAAAATGGCGGAGGAAATACATGATTTAGCATGAATATTATTAACTACTTATTTACCTCTCAGTGTCTTGAGGCAACTTAAAAAGTACATTCTGTGTTTTTATTATTATTTAGGCAGTTAAATACTGTCCAGTACTTAGTACACCAGTTTCTTTATTTTCTTCCATCATACACAAGAATACGCGTGCGTGAGTCAATGTTCGCTCGTATGTGAGGCCTTGTCGAATAGTATCCTTTAGGTGGGCCATCGTGCGACAGGCCTGATAGTAGTGACACAAAATAATAATATGTACTACTTATAGAAAGTTTTCTTCGTGATGGTATTTTAAAAAATGTTTACTCAATGTCGTCAACAATTTAGTGCAATTTAGCATAACTCAAGAATCGTGCACCGTTTCGTTTACTTATACATATACGTCAGTGATTGGTACTGTGCCGATGCGCTAGGGCTGACTGCTACAAGAAGCTACCGAGTCGCCATTTAGCGCACTACAAGCGTATTTTTCCTTCTTTCCATGGCATTTTTTTTTTACAATAGATGATGAATACGCACGCGTACGTCACTCACTACTCGCTCGTGAATCACTTATGGATTAAGCCCACCGACGGGTACGCCGTGCGTGTTTTGTTTTCGATGCCTACTCGGGAAGATAAACAGGGGGCGTAATGTGAGTTTATGTCAAACGCAATCGATATCGACTGCGTAAAAAATTGACATTAAATGTATGACGGATTGTACAGCGCCCCTAGCGGAAACTGTCAAGAACTAAAATCTTCATATATTTTTTAACGCAGTCGATTTCGAATGCGTTTGACGTTAACTCACAGGACTGATAATACTAGGCACTCACCGGCCGGCGTGTTGACCTGCGAGGCCACGAAGAGGCTCTGCACGTAGGCGCCCAGCGCGTTGACGATGTCTTGGAAGATGTTGGTGGCGTGCGGACGCATGTCGTAACATGAGCAGAAGGCTTTCAGCAGATCTGTGGAGGGAATAACACGTCAGAGTATACGTAATACCAATAGAGTTAGGCCCGCTTTACTGCGTTATGATACGGTTTTGTTCGTCCATTATAGGAGTAAGGAGATACACAAAACTGTTGGCAGTTGACTGCGATCAATAGAGTAAATACAAACAAAGATTAATACGATAAATCGGATCCAGCAAATATTATGTATCAGGACCCGGCCTAATACGAGACATATCATAGTAAACAATTTGGACACTTCGTGTATCGTTGTAGCATCATGCAGCGCAGCGTAGCACCGCCAAAGTGCTACAACTACAGTGGCGCCATCTTGGTTAGTCTTCCATCAGCGTTCACCAGTTGGCATCACTGGTAAATAGGTTCCTTACAGTGGCTAAGACAGTGGCGCCACTGATGAATAACGTCCTGTCACTTACTAGTGGGCAGGAATTTAACACGTTAATTGAGTTCAAAACTAAAAAAATATTAAAGTTAAATGAAAACATTTCATAAGTAACCGAATGAAACTACAAATTCAGTAATAGTCTGTCATAGGACAAAACAAAGGTGTTGCCAGTTCCTAAAAACAATAAATGTTGCCACTCATATGGTCTGTCATTAGAACATAACAAATGTGTTGCCAGTTCCAAAAACATCAGCGATGTTTCCATTACTCACACATTCGTATCGTACCTTATAAAATACTTAGCTATCAAAACAAGTAATGTGTTGCCATAGAACAAAACAAAGAAGGTGTTGCCAGTTAATATAAACATTAACAATGTTGGCACTCACGCGGTTGTATGGTCATCTTGTGCAGCACTTCTAAGGCCAGCGCTCGCTGCCAAAGCGGCTTGTCTGGGTCCAGGAACTTTATGGTGAGCGATAGGAAGATCTCGCACTCTGTCACCTGGGAAATACGACAACTTTTGAAATAATGATCGAAACTCTCTGATCTATACTAGGTGGTGATCATAAGACTCAAGTACGCGGAAATACGACACTTTGTTCAATAATTTAAGTTGTATACTATAATAATGTAGAGCCTGCAAATAGCAACTGTAGTCGCAGCCAGCCAGAGGAAAAATGCAAAGCTTTAACATTAACAGGGTAAACTTGGTGTATAGGTTTAATTGCCATTCGTCAAGGAGACTCGATAACCTGCTGCAACTAGATCAGGCATAGGCATTGTATTTTCTCTACGAAAGAAAGGCAGGTATACACTTTGAGGGTGTGTATGTTTTAAAAGAGTACACCATGTTCCCGTGTTCCCGAAGACTATAATCCGGGCCTTTTCAAGACAAGAGTGAATAGGCACTTACAGGGCAGATACTGTATGTAATGTACCATCCTAGACTGCATCCCACTTAACACCAGGTGCGATTGTGGTCAAACACATGCCGTGTTATGCATAAAAAAAAAACTTTGTGAAACGTGTGTCGACGAAACCAGAAAACAAATGTGTGTTCTTTACTCTCGATACTCACCAGCACAGAATGGTACTTGTGTATAATGACCGAGACCAGTCTTAACAGACGCATAGTGACGGGGAAGTGCGGCCGGTCGGCGGCGGCGGGGCTGGCCTGCTCCGACTCTCCCATAGATTATATGGCAATAGGGACTATGACGTCACCAGTTCGGGACGTTAATTGACTAAATTGAGGCCACGATAGCCGAACGGCGAAGGTGTCGGACTGGCCTACTCGATATCCGGAGAACACGGGTTGGAACCTCGCTGTCGCCAGACTATTTTGGTGAGCCCACTCGTAACACAAGCATATTTAGCTTACCACGAGGTATTAAAGGGACTATTAGTAATTTGTGCGATACAAATTACTAGTATTCTATGATTGATTCTAAGCTAATACAATGCCAATCGAAATCTAACTCGTTTCTCTTTTTAAACATTATTACTTAAATCACTTACATGAACCCTTTTCGATTATACCGGTCCCAAATTAACTTAGCCCTAGCACTTCGGAACTACAAATCGGTGGTACTGAGAAGAAGCTCAATAATGGTTTGTCCATGTCCGGGCGCCGAGCACGTAGAATTTCGTCCAATGACCCCAAGACACCCATCCTTATCGCTCGCGCGTAATTATATTGCTGTCGCGACTGTGCGACGGGCGCCCGCAGTGAGTGTGCGAGCGCGACAGCAATATAATTACGCGCGAACGATAAGGATGGGTATCTTGGGGTTATTGGACGAAATTCTACATGCACGGCGACCGGACTTTACACATTGAATACTCACCAGCACAGAATGGTACTTGTGTATAATGACCGACACCAGTCTTAACAGACGCATAGTGACGGGGAAATGCGGCCGGTCGGCGGCGGCGGGGCTGGCCTGGCCTTGTGCAGTACCGGACGCCGGTTGTGCGCCGGGAATGTGCAGGGAGGTGAATGCTGCCCTGGAAACCGAAGAAATGTTACTTAACTGACAATCGACAAAACATCAATAGGGAATATAATATGCAAGGTTTTTTATTTCTCACATTTCAGTAGCCTTGGCATTATCAAATCAATCAGTGTTTTTCCTTAAAAAAAATTCATAAGATACCTAAAATATAAACGTTAGAGATCTCATGACGTCATTGGTCATGCAAGAACGACACGCAGTTTCATACATTTGGTGGGTGACATTTGACGTCACGCCACGGGTCACGCTCAGCTATTTCCATACAAAGTTTAAACACTAAGGCTGGGTTTGCACCATCTTACTTTAACTTAGACAAACTTAGACAAAATCTGTTAATCTCCATACAAAAAGCACCGGTTATCGTCATAGTTACCGTTAAAGTTAGGTGGTGCAACTCAGCCTAAGGGTTTACCGAGCTAAGTGAATGTGAAGTTAGATAAATTATCTTAATTTGAATAGTTTGTAGTCAAACATGTTAGAAATAATAAAAACTTACCTATACTTAACATTTGGCGAAAAAAGTCGTATAATGAGAGCACACACATGCTCTTTCAATAAAAATCTGAATTCTGAGATCTGAAAAAAGAAAAAATTATAAATCAAGTTAATTAGTCTATACTTACATCATTCCATAAAATTCTACTTTCTAGCAGAGCCAAATTATTATTTACTATTAATTAATAAAATTGAACGAATTTTTATGTTACTTACTTTGAAGAAAATAGGTGAGAAGTCAGTCAGGACCGTATCTAGCAGCTCCAGTCCAAACGTCTTTGGCACTTCGGATATCCCCACCAGCCAGTGGGCTGAGTCTCCATTTATCAGTTGAATTATGTCCTGAAACGCGAGATTTAACGATTAAAACCTTGTAAAATCCACCAAGATCGTTTCATGTACGAAGACGCGCCCCACCACTTTTTGGTTGAGGGAAGCGCGTGGTGCGGGGAGTTTGATCCGAGCAATCTGAGTGTTTATTATTGTAGTGTGTGTGTGCAATCATGGATACTGTCATGTCTATGAATTACGTCTCCATAGAAACACATTGTTTACTAATAAAAAAAATGATGGATTTTTTTTTGATAATTGGCGACGTTGGACATAGAAATAAATAAATTAAAACGAATTAGAGCAGCCCTGAAGGACAGCCTTACACGAACACAGAATATTGTAAGTACAGTGACTGAAATCTCCGACGAAGAGATTTCATTACGAAAACACGAAAACACTCCTCATTACGAAAATAAAAACACTTGAAGTAAATAAATAAGAATAATTACTTGTAATATGAGGTAGGCGTCAACAGCACACGGTTTCAAGTCTTTGGGCGCTTTGCTGTTGGTTTGCGGGCGAATGTCTGCCGGGTTCACTTTGAGATTACCTGCAAAAGGGGCACATTGTTTAGTCATTTGGTGGAATAATTAATTTGAACGATGGATGGATGTTTGTTACTCTTTCACGCAATAACTGTAAGGCCCAGAACAGACGGTTAAACGCAACTGCAACGAAACTGCAATTGCTAATTACTTTTCAGTTGCATCTATATATCAAGTTTCTGCCATAGATTCCGTAGACCACTCATGAGTACTCAAGACGCGACCATTCCAAACCGGTTTCAAGCTGGTAACTAGAAGTTGCAGTTTCGTTGCAATTCATTTTACCGTGTGTTCTGGGCCGAAGGGATTTTGATGAAACTTCACAGTGTTATCTATATATATAAAAGGAAGTCGTGTTAGTTACTCCACTTATAACTCAAGAACGGCTGAACCGATTTAGCTGAAAATTGTCAGGGAGGTAGTTTAGAGCCAGGAGAAGGACATAGGATACTTTTTATCCCGTTCGAAATGAAAAAAAAGTCTGCTTATTTATTGCCATTAGGGCGGAACAAAGTTCGCCGGGTCAGCTAGTTGTTTATACAAGATGGGCCAAAAGTATTTGCAAATAGTAATGCTTGATTTTTCGTAAACTGTTCAAGAATGGGATGCGTGGGTGTTGGGAAATTGTGCATAATTTCATGAATTTTTAGTCACTATGGAGGACTTCATGAAACAAGATCGTGCCTCCGCAGGTAACAGTCGTTGGTATCTCACAGTCCGCCTCCGCTAGCGCTGGCTCGAACACCAGTGTGCACATGCTGACGTCACGCGTCTGCAATGGTGACGTAGCGCGTGCTATTATGTCAGCGGGGGAACAGTCAGTGGTGTATTATCATCAGCTTTCGCCAATGCGCGTTCGAACACCAGAGCGACGAGCTGGCGCACTGTAGCCGCGTCCGCGTGGCACGTGCTGACGTCACGCGCCTGCAATGGTGACGTAGCACGTGCCATTATTGGGGAACAGTCACTGGTCTTACCATCAGCTTCCGCCAATGCACGTCAATCACCAGCGCGACGAGCTGGCACGTGCTGACGTCACGCGATCACAGTGACGTCATCACCGCATCTGCTGGGGGTCGTATCTTACCATCAGCTTCCGCCAATGCTCGCTCGAACACCAACGCGACAAGCTGGCGCACGGTAGCAGCGGCTGCATGGCACGTGCTGACGTCACGCGCTTGCAATGGTGACGTCATCACCGCATCTGCTGGGGGTCGTATCTTACCGTCGGCCTCTGCTAACGCTCGCTCGAACACTAGTGCGACGAGCTGGCGCACGGTAGCAGCGGCTGCGTGGCACGTGCTGACGTCACGCGCCTCACAGGTGACGTCATCACCGCATCTGCTGGGGGTCGTATCTTACCATCAGCTTACGCCAATGCTCGCTCGAACACCAACGCGACAAGCTGGCGCACGGTAGCAGCGGCTGCATGGCACGTGCTGACGTCACGCGCTTGCAATGGTGACGTCATCACCGCATCTGCTGGGGGTCGTATCTTACCGTCGGCCTCTGCTAACGCTCGCTCGAACACTAGTGCGACGAGCTGGCGCACGGTAGCAGCGGCTGCGTGGCACGTGCTGACGTCACGCGCCTCACAGGTGACGTCATCACCGCATCTGCTGGGGGTCGTATCTTACCATCAGCTTACGCCAATGCTCGCTCGAACACCAACGCGACAAGCTGGCGCACGGTAGCAGCGGCTGCATGGCACGTGCTGACGTCACGCGCTTGCAATGGTGACGTCATCACCGCATCTGCTGGGGGTCGTATCTTACCGTCGGCCTCTGCTAACGCTCGCTCGAACACTAGTGCGACGAGCTGGCGCACGGTAGCAGCGGCTGCGTGGCACGTGCTGACGTCACGCGCCTCACAGGTGACGTCATCACCGCATCTGCTGGGGGTCGTATCTTACCATCAGCTTCCGCCAATGCTCGCTCGAACACCAACGCGACAAGCTGGCGCACGGTAGCAGCGGCTGCATGGCACGTGCTGACGTCACGCGCTTGCAATGGTGACGTCATCACCGCATCTGCTGGGGGTCGTATCTTACCGTCGGCCTCTGCTAACGCTCGCTCGAACACTAGTGCGACGAGCTGGCGCACGGTAGCAGCGGCTGCGTGGCACGTGCTGACGTCACGCGCCTCACAGGTGACGTCATCACCGCATCTGCTGGGGGTCGTATCTTACCGTCGACCTCTGCTAACGCTCGCTCGAACACTAGTGCGACGAGCTGGCGCACTGTAGCAGCGGCTGCATGGCACGTGCTGACGTCACGCGCCTCAAAGGTGACGTCATCACCGCATCTGCTGGGGGTCGTATCTTACCGTCGGCCTCTGCTAACGCTCGCTCGAACACCAGAGCGACGAGCTGGCGCACTGTAGCAGCGGCTGCATGGCACGTGCTGACGTCACGCGCTTCTGATGGAGATACCATGCGCGTGCACATTACCACCGTCTGCGGACGATACAATCTGATTTGAGTCGTATTTGAGTGTACTTAGGAAGCAATTTGGTTTATCTAGGCATGAGAAGATTTGTGTCTTGACATGAGGAAAGATATTGTGATATAGGTAGGTACAACAGTTGTTCAAACAACATATTTCTTCTTCTTGGCATTTATAATGATTTCTTACAAGAGCAACAAGAAGACTATTGTTCAGTATTTAATGAAATTGAACAATTAAAATGAAAAGAACACGCAAAGAATTTTTGCAACAGTTCAAATGAGTATTACCCTCGCCAAAGTGTCTCCATGCACCAGATCTGAGGTGGTCATCAACAGAGCAGCGGTTTGCAGCAGCTTTAGCTCCAACACACCGGCCTGGCCGAGGTTGTAGAGGCAGTCCACGACATGCCTCGCACCTTTTGCGTCGATGCCTTGCTGAGCAATTAAACGCTGGATGGTGCCCAAGCAAAACTGAAATGAGATTATACAGGGTGAAATTACTAAAGGTATATTAACTAAACAGTTGCCTAAATGTGAATATACCTACCTACTGTCAGAATAATTTATTATTTTAGTAAATAAATTGAAGACTGTTATCTTTACTTATCTATTATAAACAGAATTGCCAGATAGTAGTACCTAGCAGATGGTAAACTAAAAGTTAAAAAAATAATTGAAATTTGTAACAATATGTCGTAAGACAGTACAAGTAGTACAATTTGCCTTTTAGATAAATAATCTCAATTAAAGCTTTTGAATTTCATCTCTTGTTACACAGTATGCAATTCTAATTAGAAATTTTATTTTCGTTATGCCTATTAGCTATTATATCATTATTATGTAAGTGTTCACTTATGGTAATAAACACTTGGAGACATCTTCAAAAGCAATGTTTTACATAAATAACAAACAAAATAAATACTCGTATGCAATATAAATGTTTACCTTGATAATTTTAAGATCCTTAGACTCGCATCCTTGCACCAGAGCATACAGTATCTGATTGACCACACCATATAGCGAAGCTTGTGGGTTGTTCGACGCCAGGGACAGCTTCTCAATAGCTTCATCGCAGGCCTGGAATAATAAGTTTATTTATAATATTCATTACATGTCAAAAATTCAATAAATCAGAAGTTGTTAAAATTAAGCATTCTAGAGTTAGCTCCAAAGTGTATACTTATAGTGAAGGCTAGAAATGACGAAAGAGTGCTAACTAGTTGCGTTTATTCAAAAAATTTGAGCAGTAAACATCAAAGAGAATCTGTATGCAGAGAAATGTATTCAGCTGATTTTGAATATCATTTGAAGATATACAACTAATTGTATAGGTTTTCTTTATATGTACATTCAATGAGAGTTCGATTCTAAGTCCTAAATATAGAAGAAACATTAAAAACACAGAAACCTCTCTTATCTGAGGATACTTCTTCTTGGTCTCCAAACTCAAATTTTTGAAGTCATTTTGCAGGACTTCCATAAATTTCTTAGTGGAGTCATCGCCGGTAACTGCACTCACGAATGCCATTTTGTATTTAACTAGTCCTAATTTAATTAATCACTTCATGATTTACGTAAAAATCATAAAAAATAAAATTATGCCATGTACACAATCGACATCACAATTTTTCGTTCAGAAACTTCGTCATTTTCTAGAATCGATTTTATTTCTCGTGTTTATGAGTCGTTTATGTAATGTAATTCAATAAATTGAAAAAATACGTGTAACTTTCAACGATAAGTTTAATTCATATGAATTCTATATTTTAATTAAATTTGAGATAAAATAAATTATTTTAAAATTGCAAAGGAAACTCAATTTTGTGTTTTCGAACGTTAATGCACGTTTCGCTTCACGTAGGAAATTGTCAAAAAAAAAGTAAAAAGATTAATGAAATTTTGTGGCATAAAAAATAAGCTTTACTTAAAAAATAATTACTCTTTTAAGTTTCAACAAAATAAAATGATACACACCAAAGATTATGAACTAAATCTTACAAAACATATAAATACAATTTATATTTACACATGATAAATGCGTACAATGAAACGTGCTCAAAACTAGTGATACCACAACTAAAAATATTAGTATTACTGTGTACAATTTTAAATAAATAATCGAGTTGCAATTTCTCAGACTTTTAACACAATTTTGTATTTATTATTGTAAACGCAGTGAAAAGCCTTTTTTAAATTCTTTTACAAATTATTGTTCATAATTAATTAATCATGGTGATCTCAGACATTTAACATTAAGGATTGACAATTTAACTTAATCATTATTCGACTGGTTTTTACTACAAATTTCTCTTGTTATTTTTAAAAAACTCAGTGTAATGACTTTACGGCGTTCAAATGCAAAATATTTTGTAAAGTGAAAGTAAAAGAAATTGCAGTGATCGATGACCTACTTTTCGCAGTATTTTATTTTTTTCAGTGTAGCAACACCGATTACTGATTGTGCAGAAGAAAAAAACAATGGTGTGATTCCAGATTTTTATTTGTAAGTATTTATAGAATCCAATATCAATTTAGCTAAACTAACGGTTGTGAGTCGGTAAAAACGTTCACGCACCCGACCATGCCGATACCGAGGTATAAAATGCGTACTGTTCACTAGAAAATCGCTTTTTAAGATTGACGTTCTGTCATTTCAATTTTTTTACTCTATTTATTCAGCTTGATTCAGCTAAGCGCCATTTACTGCAATAGATCGGCCGATGTGTGCAGATTTTAGCACATCTTTAAATAAAACGCGAATCAGCGCAAGTGCAATGGCTGGATGGCTCTGACGTTGATAGGACCAGTCGACGTTTCAGCCACCCGCTTTCGCGTTTTTCACGTATTTTTTTTCATGCCGGCACGTAGTTTTCATGTGTTTTGTGTCTTTTCTGCCGTTTTTTGATCGGTAAGTGTTGTTGGGAAGTGGCGAAGTGAGATTGCGACCCGCAAGTGTTGTATGGTCCTTGACAGCTAACGTGTCATCCTTTTATCATTAGATGGAACGGTCAGTCATGCAATCAATCGTCACGGTAAACAAAGCAACATGTTTTATGCGTATTTGTAAATATATCCTTGCAGGGTCACTGAGTGATCCATGAGGTTGCACCATTATTCTGTCCCAGTGGCATCTGTAATGGCACATATGATTTTGACAGTTGTATTATCATGCAGAGCACCAAAAGCATGTTATCATTTTCAATGCTCCATACCACATAAGTTTCACATAATCCAGTAAAAAAACTGCTACATTTTTCTAATTCAATACTGGTATGAAATAAAATGTTTCATTCTCATATTCAGTTCGAAGTCAGTGGATATTACTTTAAAGTTTAAAACATTATTAATTAGCTTGCAAATGATTAAATAGTTAGCATTCTTTGGCAGTAATTAAAATTAATCATATACAAGATAAAAATACATACATATTGACGTCTTATTTATACTTAGATAAGAGTCCCTTAAGTGCGCCGAGAGTATCCGTGGTTTATTCATGGTCCTTCGAGCCGGATATCATCAGGAAGCTGATGTCCATTGGGCACTGGTAACGGTGCAGGTACCGGGATCACACTTTGTGCATTTTTGGAGGGGGGTGACGTCCTGGACAGTGGATTGCTGTCGCAAACAGGACAGGTGAAGAAGCTGGGTCAGCTAGGAGCTGCTGACACCAGTTTGACAGTACCAGCTGTGGTGCTGTCAGGGCAACCAACTGGTTGAGGAACATCAGATGATGATGGTGGTGCTGCGCTGAAGTGGCGCCATCTGGTGGAGACACGCTCGGAGCCCTAGGGAGTCGTGTTGGAGCCCTAAGGAGGACGTCTCGGAGCCCTAAGGGGTTCGTGTCGGAGCCCGAAGAAGTTCGTGTTCCGTTCGGCGCCGTCTATTGTGATAGTGTGTGAGTGAGACGGATACAATTGTAAGTACTCTTTTGACATTTTTATTTGTGAAGAAAATTGAAGAATTTTGGACTTTATTTACACTAGAAATTTAACTTGGAAAATTTAAACTGTTTATATTAACTTAGAAAACAATTCGAGGAATTTCTTAAGAACCGATACCGCGCCCTTGAATTTTTGAGCTCAGAGTCCAAACCGATTCCGAATAAAAGCTTGCCTATCAATAGAACGAAAACTATGCACGTTGCGACGTTAGCCTGCCCCTTTTGTAAGGAAGAACACAAATTGAGCACGTGTAAGGGTTTTATAGATAGTTCAGTGGAAGTTCGACGCGAATTTGTGGCATCCAACAATGTTTGTTATTGTTGTCTCGGGAACAATCACTCTGCCAAATTTTGCCACAGCAATTACAAGTGTCGTATATGCAAGAGAAGGCACCATGCTCTCCTGCATCCTTCAACCAAGAGTGCCGCTCAGGAAACCCAAGCTAGGGAGGTTCAGGCTGATGATAATAAGGAAGTTGATGCCTTTATTTCTTGTACATCTACAAGAGATAATGTTAATTACAGCCAGGTTTTGTTAGCAACGGCACTTGTAAATACTGTCTCTAAATACGGCCAAACCTACACGATTCGTGCTTTACTGGATCAGGGGTCCCAATCGTCCTTTATTACTGAGGCGATGGTTCAATTGTTGGGGTTGAAAAAGATACCAGTTAAAGGGCAGATCATAGGAGTAGGTGGCACGAACGGGCTTACGACGAGGTCTATAGTGGAAATTAAAATATCATCACGAATTGATCCAACCTTTTTTATTACGGTGAAAGCTTATGTGTTGGGGTCCATTACTTCACTTTTACCTACTCACAAGATAACAGTGGAGGAATGGAAGGAACTTGAGGACATTGTTCTCGCGGATCCGAGCTACTATACTTCCAATAGTGTCGACTTATTGTTAGGTTCAGAAGTATATAGCCGGATAATCCAAAATGGAGTCATAAAGGGACCACTTGGTTCACCACTTGCTCAGTGCTCGTCATTGGGGTGGATTTTGTCTGGGGTCGTGAATTCGCCCGCGAAGCCCTCTGGAACAATAAATGTGATGCACTGTAGCGTGGAGGATAATCAGCTTCTAAGAAAATTTTGGGAGCTAGAAGATGACATTCCGTTGCCAAAAGAGAAAATGTATACAGAAGATGAAAAAGCATGCGAGGAATACTTTACCAACACTACTCGTAGGGATGAGTCTGGTCGGTATATTGTGCGACTTCCGGTAAAAAATGAGGGTCCTGATGTGACGAATTCTCTGCAAATAGCTGAAAAAAGGTTTTATTCATTAGAACGAAGACTGAAGAACGGCGATCTGAAACAAAAGTATACAGAGGTTATTAATGAATATGTCGACATGAATCATATGGAACAGGTGCCTAAAGATCAAATCCTAAATTCCAAGGCAATATACTTACCACACCATGTAGTTATACGCGAAGACAAAGATACTACAAAAGTTCGTGTAGTGTTTGACGCATCATGCAAGGGAACTAATAACCAATCTCTAAATGATTGTTTATTGGTAGGTCCAAGACTACAACCTGACTTACGTCACATATAGTTATTTAATTTTTAGCGTTAAGAGTCGCATCTCAAACTAATTTGAAAATTATAAATAACTTGAAAAAATCGAACTGCCTAAGGCGGGAATTGAACCCACGACCTTCCTTGATTTTTTCAAGTTATTTATAATTTTCAAATTACGTCACATAGTCATGCGGTGGAGAAATCATCCTATTTGTCTGTCCGCCGATATCGTTAAGATTAGAGATGAAACGGATAGTTGTTTGGCCGGATACCGGATACCGGATATCCGGCCAGCTGCTAGGCCGGATAGCCGGATATCCGGCGGCCGGATAGTTGGCCCATTGTCTCGTTGCATGTTGTGACGAGTTTAGCGCCACACAGGTGCTTCGAACGCGATCAGTGGGTCTATTAATAGACTAGACTAGTCACACTTTTCGAAAATCGAATCCGTCCGAATAGAAAGTCAGATTTTGCCACTTGTCTAGGGGGCAAATCAATTCGGGTGATTTCGGTGTGCGATTGAATAGCGAAAATTAAATTAGTCTACTTGCTGCGTTATCTGACTGAACTGTCTGAACTGAACATCATGTCACGACCATCAGTGAAAAATAGATCGCCTTTTTTATTTGACAATATTTTGACATTCACAGATGTTTAGGTAGGTACTATTTATGTATTCGTCATTAGTGTGATTAGCCCAGAAAAAAATTGTTTTTGAAAGGCTTTTTTGTAACTTTTTGGACTTTAAATAAAAGCCGTCATTATTATAAGCCATTTTATTGATATTTACCTTAAAGATTAATGTATTTCATTTTATTAATAGGAAAATGTCGTAGTTTTTTAATATCCGGTATCCGGCCGGATAGTGAGTTACTATCCGGTATCCGGCCGGATAGTAAATTTAAGCCGGATATCCGGCCTACCGGATAGTTACCGGATATCCGTTTCATCTCTAGTTAAGATGTATCGGCAGGTGAAAGTGCATCAAGACGATGTCGACTTTCAAAGGATACTTTGGAGAGACGATGTAGGCGCTGAAATAAAACACTACAGACTTTTAAGGGTCACCTTTGGAGTAGCTTCAGCTCCCTACTTAGCGGTGAAAGCCTTACAACAAGTGGCTTTGGATCATAGTGAAGATTCTCCAACGGCGGCTGAAAAGATACTGTCCGACTTTTATGTGGACGATCTCATGACGGGTTGTGAAACAGTCGATCAGGGAATTCAACTTTACCGAGAAATAAACATGATGTTAACCAAAGGAGGGTTTGAATTGCAAAAGTGGACTACTAACAATGAAGATTTGTTAAATGCGATGAAAGAAGATAGTGATATAAATCAAGAGGAAGAAAGCCTGAAAATAAAGACTGATGAAATAATAAAGATTGTCGGTATTACCTGGAGCCGTAGTAAGGATGTGTTCCGCTACAAGGTTGATGTACCGGCATTCGAAGAACCTGCAACAAAGAGAAAAATTATTTCAGACATATCTAGATTTTACGACCCCTTGGGATGGGCGGGGCCGTGTATTATAAAGGCAAAGATGATGATTCAGAAGCTTTGGCTAGCAGGTATTGATTGGGACGAAGAAGCGCCAAATGAGTTAGTAAGGGAATGGTTAATTTATCGTGAAGAATTAGTTCACTTACGAGACATTACTATACCACGTTGGACTGGTGTTAAGACTGGTGACTTGGTAGAGCTGCATGGGTTCTGCGACGCCTCCAAAGAAGCATATGCAGCTGTTGTATATGCTCGCGTTGTTGACACTGAAGGAAATATTACAGTGACGCTGCTTTCTGCAAAAACAAAGGTAGCACCTGTGAAGCAAGTTTCTATACCACGATTAGAGTTGTGTGGGGCTGTGTTATTATGCAGGTTATTGTTGGAAGTGGCATCTGTAATGAACATTGAAAAAACTTACGTGCATGCTTGGACGGATTCGACGGTGGTGCTGGCCTGGATCAATAGTTTGCCGAATCGTTGGAAAGTTTTTGTAGCGAACCGGGTGTCTGAAATTGTAACCAATCTCGATTCCCATCATTGGTCACACGTATCGACGAAATGTAATCCAGCAGATGCAGCGTCCCGAGGGTTACAGCCATCAGACCTAGTGAAAAATAACATGTGGTTTCAAGGTCCAGAGTTTTTGCACAAAAAGGATATTGAATATCAGAAGCCTAAAGACATTGAAACCAATTTGGAAATGGCTAAAATCAAAGCTTGCTGCACTACGGTAGAGACATTTCAGTGGGAAAGGTTTTCAACATTAACTAAGTTAATAAGGGTAGTAGCTTATTGCAAACGGTTTTTAAACAATTGTAAAAGGAGCATCGTTGATAAACGTGATGGATACTTAACAGCTAGAGAAATGCAAGAAGCTATGAATTGTTGTATAGTTGCATGCCAACGTGAAAACTTTGGTGTTGAGATCGACATATTAAAGAAAAATGAAAACTTACCTAAACGCAGTCATCTTCAGTCCTTGAATCCTTTTCTTGATGAGAACAATATATTGCGAGTTGGCGGGAGGCTTGAAAATTCGCAGTTTGATGAACGTCGAAAACATCCTATTCTGATGCCTAGAAAGTCTTTCCTAACCAATCTCGTCATACTGGATGCGCATACGCAAACTCTTCACGGCGGTCCACAACTAATGATGTGTTATTTGCAATCTCGGTATTGGATCTTAGGATTAAAACCAATGGTAAAGTCAGTTTTTAGGAAATGTGTGACTTGTGCAAAGCATACTGGTAATGTTCAAACGCAATTGATGGGACAGTTGCCTGCAGCGAGGGTCACTCCCACTCGTCCCTTTAAATCTTGCGGAGTGGATTACGCCGGTCCCATTCAACTCAGAACGGCTAAAGGCCGCGGGCACAAGTCATACAAGGGATATATTTGTATATTTGTGTGTATGGTCACGCGTGCCATACATTTAGATGTGGTGTCCGAGCTTACTTCGGAAGGTTTTTTACAAGTTTTCAAGAGATTCGTGGGTAGACGAGGATTGTGCACAGATATTTGGAGCGACAACGCCACAAATTTTGTTGGAGCAGCGAGTGAATTGAAAAGGTTATTTACATTGGAGAAAAGCTCAATGATGCAGGAGATAGCCGAGAGTTTGGCAACCAACGGATGCACTTGGCATTTCATACCATCTCGCTCTCCCAACTTTGGTGGCCTTTGGGAGTCAGGTGTCAAATCCGTTAAATACCATCTGAAGAGAGTAATTGGGAATTCTACACTCACTTTTGAGGAGATGACAACAGTGCTGGTCCAAATAGAGGCGTGTCTCAATTCTCGACCTCTATCAACCATCACTTGTAATGATGATGACGGATTTAATGTTTTGACGCCTGGACATTTCCTCGTGGGTGAAGCACTTGTTTCACCACCTGAAAGGAGTTACGAATCCTCGAACGTAAGCACTTTGCGCAGATGGCAATATGCGCAGAGAATGCTCCAAGATTTCTGGCGTCAGTGGTCGACCCAATACTTGCAACGTTTTTATCAACGTTATCGGTGGTCTACGCAAAATCGTCAACCTAAGGTTGGTGATGTCGTTGTTGTAAAAGAGGACAGCTTGGCTGCCGGTCGTTGGCTTTATGGCAGGGTGATTGAAGTCCACCCCGGTAACGACAATATTGTTAGAGTTGTTAGTTTAAAGATTAAAAATGGTGTTATAAAGAGGCCAGTGTCTAAAATTTGTCTCCTTCCTATTACTGAGTAATATCGGTGTTTAGTTCTGGGGGCACGGCAGTGCCCCCGCCAAGTCGAGCGCGAAGCAAACACTGCCGTACCATCCTTTACTCGAACCATTTCGCCGCATTTTCAGGCCCCTATTTGAGAACCTCTGGATAAGACCAGAACGCAGAAATTTTCGTCATTTAGTAAGCTATAATCNAAAACTAAAATTAACAGTCAACTCAAATTCAAATTGCGATATCATCGCCCACCATGAAACAATAGTAACTACTAGATTACTGTACACACCAATAATAAAGTTAAAAAAAACAAACTGTGTAAAAAAAAGCCATTGTAACATGTAACAAAAGATTCATCCTTCAACTTGAAACGTAAAACACTAAACCCACCAAAAACATTCTGTAAAAAAACTAGCCAAGTCTCGATGGAGCTGCTTGTTTATCTCTAAAAAGTAATGAAATCTAGACAAAGTCGTGCCAAGTCTATGGTTCCTTACTGCGATTTCTTTATTATTATAGTTAATGTTGTGTGACTTGGCCGTTGAAGGGTGACAAAACCAGGTGCTCCATGACACCATTGCACCAATCTGTCGCCAGAACCGCTACCCATTGACGATGGAAAATTGCCACTTGGAAAACGTTGGTTCAACAATAACCAGTCAATTGTGGGTTCAGTAAAGCTGCGTATTTATAATGTATGATTATCTTAATAAAGATTGTTCAACGGCCAAGTCACACAACATTAACTATAATAATAAAGAAATCGCAGTAAGGAACCATAGACTTGGCACGACTTTGTCTAGATTTCATTACTTTTTAGAGATAAACAAGCAGCTCCATCGAGACTTGGCTAGTTTTTTTACAGAATGTTTTTGGTGGGTTTAGTGTTTTACGTTTCAAGTTGAAGGATGAATCTTTTGTTACATGTTACAATGGCTTTTTTTTACACAGTTTGTTTTTTTTAACTTTATTATTGGTGTGTACAGTAATCTAGTAGTTACTATTGTTTCATGGTGGGCGATGATATCGCAATTTGAATTTGAGTTGACTGTTAATTTTAGTTTTATTTCCTGTTGTTAAGGACCTAGGACGGTCCTTGGTGGGCGATATGGATAAACCTTCCATGAAAGTTGTTACATTTAGTTGCCGATAGATGTCACTGCACTTTGAGATGCGAAAAACTGTACCGCGGTGTCCAGATTTTTTACCCCTATTATATATACCCTGGAGTGTTTTGACATAACAAGCAATAAATTGTCACCTACATATTGACGTCTTATTTATACTTAGATAAGAGTCCCTTAAGTGCGCCGAGAGTATCCGTGGTTTATTCAATACACCCAGCTGTTATACATTTAATCACGTCTTGCTGACACTTGTAGATAAAATCAGTTGGATACAAACCACGTTTTGATTCCGATTCAAATTTGCATATCCACATGGAGATTTAAGATTGTATTATGTGGGTGTGTACATTCATTTATATTTTCATGGGTAATTATAATGAGTCATCTAAATTGCAATACTACTTAATCATTTACTTTGTTAGTAGAAGAAAGAAAGAAAGAAATATTGTTTATTTAGTTCAAAATCATTCACAATCATCAGATGTGTATACATGAGCTTGTTTTTAGCTTTATTTTTGAGTGATTTGGAATGCTCTTCTAATTATTTCTCAATCATTTAGAGAGCAAATAATAATATTGGTATTTATATACTCAGTCAATGTATATTTAATTATCTCTAAGCATGGACCTATAAAAAAAGGCGGACGGAACTCGCGCTACAACAAAACTGTGACGCAAAATTTTGGCGTTTGTCTATTGTGTGAGTGAATTTAGGGATGCCATGTTAGCCAAAACATTTTACCCATTTATTTTAAGAAAAACATAGATCGGCAGATGTTACTTGGAAATGTAGACAGAATTTGAAAAGGATGAAAGGTGAACGCGTTGAGGTAGGCGCGAAATTTTCAATGTTCAAATTTTCTTACATTGTTTGCAAGTCAGTGTCAGGGTATGTACATAATGTTGATCAAAAATGATTCACGCAGTAAAAAATTACGAATCTTGTGTACATTATAATCATAATCTTATGTATCATCAATATAATTATTATTATCTCTGATAGATTTTAACATACAACCTGACACTGACTTGCAATCATTGTAAGAAAATTTGAATTTCGCAGTTCCACATTTTTGGGAAGGATCAAATCTGCCTATGAAAAATCCCATTAAAACACAATTATTATGATAAATTATTTTATTTCTATAGTATGCGTAATAAATAACTAAAAAGTCCTAAAATTATTATTAATTTACCATATTTCGGGTAATTTTCCCACGTAAATAACTGAGAACACTGGTCTTTGACGTATTATTTTTTCGAGTGAATGACGTTTGATTTCAATTAATTTCAATATTTTAATGTCGGGAAATAAGTGATTGGATTATTATTTTACCTGTGAAATGTGATTCCTTAATTTTTGTTTGTTCGAACAGAACGGTTTTTACACAATTTCATCACACAAGACATGTCGTATTCGTGTTGATTTTTCGCCGCCTAAATGTGTCAACTGTGTGAAGTTTGCACTCGAAGTGGTGCGTCAGGGTGTGAATGTGTGCGTGCCGGCCTGTACGTACAGGCAAGCTGGTGTATCCTAATGTCACAGTATTTTGTTGATGAGAATCCGTCCGACTTTTTTTATAGGTCCATGTCTCTAAGTAATGTAGATAACGTTCTAACTGTCATATTAATTCTGCTTATTTTCTGGTTAGGTGCTTAATTGTTGTGATAGTTTAAACTTTAAACTATCATTATTATGTATGTTTTATTCTAGTTTAGATAGCAATATTTGATATTACAAATGGATCTATTGCATCTATCACAATACTCCTATAATCACAAAAAATACTTGCTTAAGTGAAGCAGCAAATCCAACGCACAGCATTGAATAGAGGTCTGTGATTGGTTTGTTTGAACCTGTGCGTCCCTGTGCACTGTGAGACCTCATAGTAATGTTTGTGGATACGAGCAACAGTCTGTTAAACAATAGCATAAAGTGTATTTTTAATTGGAGTTATTTTTATGATTATAAACAACTAGTTATATTGGCCTTCCTCACAATAGGACTGTTATCAGTAAGCCAATTACTTAGTGATTTGTAGTTCTATGATAAGGTGTTACTTACTATGGAGTCAGAGTCCGAGTGTGCCATTTCAGATGTTACTTAATAATTTAGTGTTAGATAAACTTTATTACTCAATATAGGTACATATTGGCGGGTTGTAGTATTATTGTAAAGTTTATAAGTATAGGAATTTATAAGTATACAGGGTGGCCAGGGAGTTGACGTTCAAAGTTCCTCACATCAAGGTGTATCTAAATCTAAATCATATACCTATCTGTATATCCATACTCACAACATGATTTTTTTAGGTTGTTTCAAGCTGTTTATCTGAATTCTGTGTATTTTTTGTGTGCCAACTTTAACTTCAATCAAGTTCTAATGCCTACGCGGAATAATTAAATACGCGATGTCGGGACATGTATAGGTGTCCTAAAAAGGGCCTATAACCACCATACTATAAAGAATCGGATTTTGACAGTGTTTTCTCTTGTTTCAGATAATCAACACAATCCTGCAATACAACTTTCCAAAATCTTCCTCAAGACTGTTACTTTAGAATATAATTTAATTTTTCTTTAGTGTAAAGACAGATCGAAGCGTCAGCTAGTGAAGGATGCCAACAGCGAGAGAGAATCAAAAGACGGAATTAGCTATTTATTTTATTAATTAATTTAGCGTAAACCCATCATAATTATTTTTGTAGTGAATCCATTATATTAATTATAGATGAATTAACTCATAAACATTGAGATTTTACAATATTTATTTTCTAATATCACAATGGTGGATAAAGGTCAGCCGACGTAGTTTGCATTAACCGTTGATGGGCCAGTATGGAAAATATGGCGTCCAACGTGTCTCTGCGAAGTAACAAACAGCGGAAGGAGAACCTTATAACTAGGAAGGATAAGAGTCCAGAGAAGACTATAAGGGGTACACGAGGCGCGTACAGGGGAATCCCCTCTACGTCTAAGAGGGATGAGGATGAGACGGGCTCGACGGAAAGACTGGATAGACCAAAGAAATTTATCGCGCAGAAAAGCAACTACGGGCTCGGGAAGCGACCGGACTTCTCGCTCAAGAACAGGAATGTGCATTTAGCGTCGTCTCGGTATGGGCAGGTGAGTTTTAGATCTGTTTAATGTATTAATTAATCCTAATATTATTATAATCATGAAACAAGGGCCGAGAATCAAGGAGTCGTTAGCATTTAGTAGACCTAGTTTCTTCTCGATCTGTATTTTTATTATAACGTGTATATTTATTTAGGTGAAACACTGAAAAATACATGCGGCTTGAACGTGCTGCTGGTTAATAGCTTTGCATGTCTCCAAAACTCGAAACTTTCTCTGGCGGAGTTAATTCGGGTTATCAATACATCGCTGGCACTAAATATAATCGTTCATGATGATGCCCCGGAGTCGTCATAGCAGCTGCTTATGTATACCTACATTATACATGTTATACACACATTTATCGAAAAAACGTTTAGTTACGTGATATCGGTCGTAGAAAAATTCAGGCACTCTCGATATTTCCGGGGAAAAAGTATTCGTAATAAATAGTATACTTTCTATTTGTTTTGTGAAAGTTTTGGACATTTTACATTGTTAACTATTTATTTATTTATCATTTTTACGGACAATGAAAATCAAACCCTTTCTGTAACTTCGAATAAACATTTTCTTGTAAGTACAGTCAGCGTCAAATAGTTTGTGACACCCAAAGTAGCCAAAAAGTTCGCATCACGTCTGTTACATTGGAATAAGGTTGGTTGTCAACTTTTTGGCCACTTTGGGTGTCACGAACTATTTGACGCTGACTGTACCTGCTCCCGTGTTGTGCGAGCCATTTATAACCAAACAGGACTGATTGTTAAATCAGTCCCACATAGCTTAGTCCCCGTGAACCTAACGAATGGGTCAATTTGGAGCAATTTCACTCAATTATCCAGTTGGCCGATTTCACGGCGAGGTGGTGCGGACTCGTGCGTTGATAAAATCACGACTGACATCCACTCGGTTGAATTGAATGGTGCATCCTTGGCTTCGACAATATTCGGACAATGTATGTCAAACTTATTAGTGGTTATGCTGTAGATCCTGGCTACACAGGAGTTGCAGCGGGTAGAAACGAGAGGTGGGAATAGTCATTATACTCCCTCTCATTTATGCCTCTCATGAATCGCAAAATTTAATTAAACCAAGGCACAGCTATAACTAATACATGACATGACAGAAGAAGAAAACTAAGCCTGTTCTCTACCTTTATCCATGTGACGTCATGATACATTAGTAAATAAATAGTGGAAAGTTTGCAAAGAGTTCAGTAAATACCGCTACTCGTAATCCTATTTATTTACTGCTGGACAAATGTTTTCAAACTTCATGCACCTAGATTTAAATAAATTACTTATCATAACAGACAGTAAATGCTAATAAACGTTTGCGAGTGCAGCTGTCAAGTTCATCTCATTGCCAAATCAATTTAGGATATGTTTTAGCATTTTTTGATTAAATTGACAGACATACACATACTTAAGTAGACTCTTCATCCACACTGGATTTGTTGTATGCATTTGTATTTTGACTTTTCAACTAATTTTCGAAATAAAATGGTTTATTCATATCTCATACGACTTTACCATCGAAACTGTACCTATCTGACTTGCAATTTTGTAGAAAGGTACGTGTTCGCTATTTGGTACCAATAGCATGCCCTAGATGATCCCTTTTGTTACTAATTGGTCTTCCGTGATTATTGGCATCACTTCTCACGTTGAGTCAAGACTTTTCATGGAAAGAACACACTGAATCAGTGCTTCTGATAAGTTAAAAAATCTATTTAAAATTGGTCTAAGAAATTACTAAGGTGCACAGGCGTCTGGAAGTCCTAAATCTGAAAGAAAAGTTCATTTTTTTTCAAATGTTAATAGAGTCTCATTTACATTTAGCTGTCTCAGACAGTAGATTATATTGAGATGCTATCGATAGATAAAAATGCAGCGCTATCGTTGCACAAAGTTTTTATAACTGCTTTTTATAGTTTTATCGGTTTTTCATGAAAATTTTGTTAGTAATCCAATTTTTTGCTCGACTTTTTTGAGTTTCATCTTTCTTTTGATTCGCTTCTACTAGTCTTTATTTTTATTCGCGAATCATTCAGGGTTTTGATCAGGAAATAGTCCTCGCAGTCCGATGAAGGTCAAATGTGTGGCCAACGACATCCTTCATCACTTGTAATCGGTGCAAATGGTTGATGCCTAGTACTGAGTTCGCGAACAGCACTTCACGGGTCAATACGTACGTGCCCTAAATTTTTTATTTATCTTTCTAGAAATATCTACCTATTTTAACAAGCTTGCCGATTGCGAGAATTTATTGTTAAGCCAGCTATTGTTCCTTTCTGTATTCGTCTATATTATTTTTATTGATGGCGATGAACTTGTTTTTTCGCCAATGTGGGCACAGTATTCCGTCAATTTTACGTGCATAGTTTGAAAGAAATAAAATGTTAATCCAGTTGTTTTGTCCTTTCTATACTCGTGATTTTGGTGTTTCAAATAAATTGTTGTCAAAGTCATCCTGTCAAGATCTCGTACAATAAACATAGTGTGGTCATCATTTGTCCTTTCTCGGGTCAAACGACCATGCGCAGACGCAGACTTTAAGTTTATAGGTGCAAAAGTGACCACTTGAACACGTGCGGTAGATTTGAGTGACGAAGCTACAGGAAGGAGGGACCTGTGAAGTTGCTATTCAGTACTTGTCGTGTTGATATTAAAATTCAAGCATGTTTGCTATCAAAAGTTGAGTGTACATAATAATATTATGGTTCCTTGGTTATGAGGTCAATAGTAAAAGGAATGTCCAATTAATCCTCCAAATACTTCGGAATACGTTTAAATGAATTATTGTTTTGCTAGCGAACTATTATTATTATTATATCGACAACATAGATTTTATTTTCATGCGAGTTGATTTCTTTTTGATGTTGATAGAAAAGGTCGAAGATTTCTCGAACAATGTTTCATTGAACAGTTTATTATATGATAATGGATTCGATTATGATAAAAATAATATAGGACTTACAATCGTTATGTGAAGTATCTCTGTCAGATGGCACGTGCGAACTTGAGTGTAGTCAGCAAATAAGCTCAATGATTATTATTTTTATTCAGATGTCGAAGCTATTTTTAGTTATGAGAAGCTAACGAGCTTAAAATTATTTATTTATTATTCTTCTTCACTGCTTTAACATAATATGATTATGTTAAAAAAGTTGGTTTTGGTAAATAAGTTTTATCTGTTACACATCTCAGTCAACCGGTTCCTTATCTTATTCATTACCTTACTCTTTGTGATTAAACCACTGAACCGATTTTGATGACATTTGGTAGAAATAGTTTTCCGGAAAAGGACAAAATAATTTTTAGCCCGTTTTTGAAACGTAGACGCGCGCGATAAGGTTTTTGTTTTTGTATGACAGACAAAAATTCACGCAGGCTTAGCCGCGAGCAAAAGTCAGTTCTTATTCATAAGTGCCAATATACTGGTCAGAATTGAATACATAAATATATTTGGATTAGAACTAAAACAAAGATGCGAAAGTTTTTTGCTGTCTCTACAGCTACAACAAACTGCATTGACATATTATTGTAAAAGAAATGCAAGCTCGTATCTACTATAGTCTATAGCTGGCCACAAAAACGTGATAGTGGTGTATAATTAGCAATGCTGTGTCATTCCATCATACGTAAACACGTGCTATCTCGGTTTACGAGCATGATCAAACGCCTTGACACGATGTTACGCCCCAATTTGCGTATTGTGTCTAAGAAGGAAGATTCCTTGTTTTGGTATTATGGAATTTGCCGAAATCTGGAAGCATATGACATGGGAAGTAAGATACTTCCCTGATTGTGCACTTGCTTGATTGTAAAGAATAGATTCCTATGGGTTTACGAGCATGATCAAAAGCCTTGACACGATGTTACGCCCCAATTTGCGTATTGTGTCTAAGAAGGAAGATTCGTAGTTTTTTTATGCATAAGATACTATGTAAGAACTATTTGTGAAAACTATTTTGGCAAATGTGAAGTTTAATTGGTAATAAAAACCCAACCGGTGAAGGTCAAGTTTATCCCGAACGAAATTAATGAGAAGAACATAGGAGGAGTTCGAAGTTTTCCATCCAGTGCAAAGCAATATTAGTATAGTAGATAAGCTTGGTGAACATAAGTAAATGAAGGTTTTATACTTAACACTCGTACGTTACAACAAACAGCTCACGTACTAATTCGACCGTATAAATTCGATATAAAAAAGCATAGGAGTTTAGCTTATCGGCTTTTAAACCCGCGTTCAACCCCCAACAGGTCAACGGCTTATACTTACGTAATTTGGGAAGGTTGCTGGATTATAGTATAATGACTTTGACTTAGTAATGCTAGGTTAGTTTTAGGTATAAGGGTATCAAGGTTTCCCGCCAAGGACGCGCGAGTAATGGCGTGGGTGACTGACAGTTTTCTTTTTAAAAATGTTCAGGTCATTGGCGCACGGCATTGACTTGACAAATGCCTTTATAGGCTGTATGGTCTATGACCTTTGCCTGCGGCCTCAACCTCCTTGCGAGAAAGGCTCGAGCCAAGATAGCGACATCTAGTGCGCTGAAACGATTTATCTTTTATACTAATGTTAATAAGTTTAAATATAATGATAAATATATTATTTTAATGATGATAATTTTATCCAACGACTGGGGCCTATTTTATTTATCACCTAGCTCTATGTCTGTCTTATCATACTATTTTCGGGTATCCTTTATTTAATCTGACCTTTATTCTGCCCTTTTTGCGACAGGCACCCGAAAAAAGAAGTATTAGATCTGTCGCCATTATGCTCGTTAAAGACAATGGATAGCCTAATTTATTTGTTGTACCAGGTCACGTTTTATTTTGGGAAAAAATCGTTCTATTCATCTGCGAACCGATTGTTTCTGCGATGCTCTATACCACCACTACATAGTTAGGTAAAGGAAATCTAACTTCACAAGTACATATAGCTAAACTAGACACAACTACAATACTATATTGCTTATTATAAGTTTCTGAATTTAAAGT